GCCGGAGCTCCCGTCTACCTGGCGGCGGTGCTGGAGTACCTGACCGCTGAGATCCTGGAACTGGCCGGAAACGCTGCCCGCGACAACAAGAAGACCAGAATCATCCCCCGCCACCTCCAGCTGGCTGTGCGTAACGACGAGGAGCTCAACAAGCTGCTGGGAGGCGTCACCATCGCTCAGGGCGGCGTGCTGCCCAACATCCAGGCTGTGCTTCTGCCCAAGAAGACCGAGAAGCCCGCCAAGGCCAAGTAAAGCTGGAGGCTTAGCCCCAGCCACCAACGGCTCTTTTAAGAGCCACCCACAAAATCTGAGAGAATGTTCCTCAATGTGATGTGAAACATGCCATACAATTAGAATTAATCAATAATAATATTAATATCTTAAATATCTAAATAACTAGCCCAAAATCACATCAAGGTTTCTTTGCTTGTTTTAAACCAAATTTGTGTTTTTTTTTTTTTCCTAGTGAGTGGATAATGTCACATTAACTTTTCCATTCAAGACACTTTGGATGGTACTCTAAGAGCCCCCACTTTTACTGAGACAGATGGTTCCTTTATGATACTGAAAATCCACACTACCCTATTTTTCAGTATCTAATCTCCAATTAAATTCACATGGTGGCTTCAGTAAGCCACCATAAGCAAGCTATCCATTGCTTATACATTTTTTCTTTTAATCTAATTTTTACGAACTGTTTTTCAGTGGGCCCATTGCTTATACAGTTTTTTCTTAAAATTACATTTATATTTGCTTTTCAGATGGCCTATTGCCTATACAGTTTTTGTTTTTAAATTAAATTTATATTAGCCGCTTTTCAGTGGTTGCCAAAAAAGATCTAGGTTTCAGACACCTTGGTCTGTGTGAGTCTCGTTGGTGTGGACACTAGATGTTAACACTGAGCCCATTCCCACCATAATGCAATGACTAAATACATGCAATTTCTAATAGCTGTGGCTTCCGCATAGGAAGGTGGATATTTAAAGGATCTATTTAAGTAATTAAATCACGTTTATTATCATATTTGCGATATAAACAGTCATATTTCCAAACCCAGACAGGAAATGTTGCCCAAAACTCTTAATACATAGAAACTGCTGATACACTGCACACAAAGACATGTGTAGGTAGGCATTTTGTACTCTCTGGTTTGTGGTAGAAAGCCCAAAGATACAAGAATCACAGTATTTGACAGCGCAGGAATCATTTTTCATATGTAAATGGCCCATTAGGGCTGTTGTTGGAGAACCACACCCAGTTTCAGTTCAAGCCTCAGACGATAACTGGTCTGTACAATGAAAACAGCTTCATGAGCTGGAATTTTTATACAAGAAATGCCATCTGAGCGGTTTACTGGAGGGCAAACTCAAAAGTCTGGCTGCAGACTGCAGGAAGCCACAGATGGAGATCCAACCCACATCCAAGTTGGCCATTTTGATTAGGTGTGCTGTCCTACATTGCAGGACAACATGTGACTGTCGATGAGCAGTTAATTCCATTAAAGCTGCCCCTTGCTGACTGTGTATGCAGCAAAAAAGAGCAAATCTGTGTGTCTGCTGAGCACCAAGCACCAGACGGTGGAGATTGAAGAGACTCAGAAACAGAAACCAAACACTGTTACTGACTACGAGCTCCTGAAAGGCGGTTTGGACATTATAGACCCGAAATTAGGGACTGAATCAGCTGGATGGCCCGTGGCTGTGTTTACATCCTGTTAGACATGGCTGCAACCAACGCGCATGCGCGGTACCAGGCGTGCAGGGGTCCATAGAGAGCCGACCAAAGTTCACTCTGAGACTCGCAAACGAGCTTCGTCACAAGTTTATGCAGGAAAAGACGAGAAAGGATGAAAACGTGAGGCAGCACCGTGAGATGGAGAGACTTTCTGACGGTAAAACAGGAACCGTAGCACGGAACCGTTTAGCTAAATGTAGGCTAGCATAGCACGCTGTACGTACGCCTATGTTTGTATCAGCACTCATAATGTAGACAATAAGTGTATGTTATTTGACATATTTGTTTTCTCATTGTGTTTAATAAATGTTCTTCCAATACTGAAGTCAAACTGTGTCGTCCTCACTTTAGTTCCGCTACAGAACCAGCTAAACTTCCTTATAAATGAAGACTGGAGTCGTTTTAAGCTCCAGTTCTTTACTGTGGCCTTTTTCTTCGTATTACAAAACAAGACAAATACAAAATGGCCGTGGGACTCTCATGTAAATGTAACGTTTTTAGCGATCGATAAATCAAATGCATTTTCAAGTAAATAGTATTTTTAACATCAACTTATAAATGTAATAATGAAATTGTCAACTTAGGACTTCTACAGTGATATATTCATGTCGTTGAACCCAGAAATGTAGTAAGTATAAAGTCGATTAGCCTCAAACTGCCTTTCTAACTGAAAACAAACAGAACGCTAGAAAACCTGCTCACATAGTGAGGAACTAGGACCCGTATGATACCTGGTTGTTCAATAGGTTTGCCTAAATAAAAATTTGGTCATGAGGCAAATGGTAATAAAGTGTTTGGAACATGCTGTTTCGATGCCAGTTTGTTTCAGCCTTTATCTGGATACATGAACACAAAGGGCCCAACTTTGTTAATGGGGGGGGAATAGTGGGTATGATAGTTAAAAGTAATTTGGATTCTTTTAATCAAAAGGTCTAAATCATTGCTGAGGAATTAGGTGATTTTGTCAGGATGGAGTAGTGTTGTGTACCATACATTAAATTATCCCTGCAAAGTGCAGAAGACAATGTATGTTTGGATAGATGTTATAGTAAACATTCACTAAAAATATATAAAACCTCATATTATCACTGCCACTTAAAGCCAGAAATAGGTTGATACTATAGTAAAGGATATACATGAGATTAAGTGTAAATCTTAGTACTCTTTTGATAATTTGTGTGGCTCTTAAAAGAGCCGTTGTGTTTTCCTGTGAGGTTGTG